TTATAGTGCACATAAAGGTTTCCCCTCAAGTGGAAAGAGCCATTTTTACACACCTGAACAAAATAACATATTTAGGATAGATGATAAAGTCGAACAGAGTAAACAAATGCAATTTTGAGGTTCAATGTTAAAAACCAAACTAAGTGTTTGAATATTCTCACTGCCCAGAGATTTTAGTTACTGGTTTTCTTGCAATTTTCAAAAGAGAGAAAAAAAAGAATAATACAAAACAGAACAAAAGAAAAGGCAACATAAACCATATAAAGGACAGGGTACCAAATTCAGGAGACCTTGAAATTTACAATTTCCCCATACTTCAAAAACTCAGTGTGCACATCCTCGTAAAATTCTTCATAACAGCGTTCAACTTCCTCATCTGTAAACTGAAAAAACGGGGAGGAGAGTCAATCTAGAATGTACTCTGCCATAAGAAATTCCAGTTAGAAGGGAAAAAGTGAAAATCTTAGTCCAACAACATTTCAGAAGAACCCCCAACAACTCCAAATGAAACATGCTATGTCAAATCCAGGTGCCATCCATGATCACTCCAAAAAGGTCATAATTATGCTGTGCCACTACCTGAGCTTAGTAAAGTCTAGATGTCGTTAAGGTAAAGTTTAGGAAGGGAGATCCAGACTGTTGGAAAAAAATAGGATACATCTCCAGTTTTACTCATAAAAGTGAGAAACAAGAGTGTTAAGAGATCCTGACAGTTCTAAAGGCATTTAAAAATCGAAAGTTATCAAAGACTGTTCCCACCAATTGTGGACAGAATTGATTTCATGCATCAAAAGGAGGAAAAGGAACGAACAAATAACAAAGTATTATTCTTTACCTGAAAAGACAAAAAAAAAAAAAACCTAAAATAGGTACACTAGGAAGGGAGGTCAGGGCTTCAAAAACCCAACCCAGGAACTAGGTACATTACATTACCCCAAAAAAAAACCTCTCCAACCGGTCATTGAACAATTAATTTTTTTAGAAAAATTTCAATCTTAGCCAAATGTTGGACTTTCATGATTCAAATAAATTCTGCAACTGATACTGATTGAACCAACCATCTTTGCACACATCCAAATATGGCTCTTGATGGACAAGGGTATCTCATCTGCAAAGACATGGAAGGTAGCAGCCATCCCTCTATGCCATCCTGAGTATGCCAAGAACTTGAGAGGAAAAGTTAACCCGTAATTTCAAGGTGTGCAATGGACTTTTCCTCTCAAAATGAGATAGAAACCTTTTGGCACTTGCCTTGGCAAAAATCTTTATAAATAAGACCAGGAGCAGGAGATTTCTCACTACACATATTCTTAATGATATTTTTTTGATACCCATGAGTGTGTCCAAGCCAGCTTTGCGTGGACCTCCCCATATTCTTAATGATATTTAGAATTTCTATTTCTTCAAAAGCCCTTCCAGGCAAATCTTCTTGTTAAGAATTATTTTAAAATTAAATATATCATAACCTATCAAATTAATCTTTTGGGGTTAGTGATACTTTAGCATCCTATCAAAGCACATCGTGTGTTCAAACTCCTAATGTTTCCTCTCCAACAATATTGATAGTCCACCTATTGGGTCTTGTGCTAATTTCAAGGCCACAAATGAGGGAGTGTTAAGCTCAGGACATTAATCCAATTCTTTATCCTAGTTCCATTTGATATTAGTGGAGTATTAGGAGATATAGGAGAGGAAAAAATAAAATAAAGGGGAAGTTCTCAGTAGACAATGCAGAAAATGGGTGAGACATGGGATTGGATTCAATTTAATGCATCCAGCTGGCTGTTTCTTTCTAAGGAACTTTGTAACTTTCCCTTTTACTTATGGACCAGCTCGAGAGCCTTTTAGAAGCTCCTAGGTCATCCGTAT